AAGTGGGCTTCTCTACCACTGGGCTTAGCAGGTTTTCAAAGGGAAACCCACAAGAACTAGAAATTAAGTTTGAGATATCTCACAATCCCTAAAAACCTAAGATGGCCTTTGTAACATTTATTAGGCAGACTGGATCTGTATTCCAGATATCTATATTTCTATTGTACGTAGTAGAAAATAACATTCCAGTTATCCATGAGAACATTCTTACTGAATGAGCATGTTAGATATCTGACATGTTCATTCTAGTAAGAATCATTCAGTTATAAAACATCTTTGGCATTATAGGTATTAAATATGGGAGACTGACGGAGACATGCCCAAATTTTTTTCAGAAGTGATGGAGACTGAAAGCTTGTGATTGGTGGTCAAGACTCTGCTTCCTTTAAATTCGTCAACAGTAGGGCTGCAACTAACGACTATTTTAATAGTCGACTAGTCACCGACTATTGAAACGATTAGTCGACTAATCGGATAATTATTAAATTTTTCTTAACTTTAGCATGAGATTGCTTTAATTATGTGAAAACTGATAATAAACGCAAGAAAGATGGGTACTTCAATGGAAAATGCATATTTTATTGAACTTTGCTGCTGATAGGCCAATTCATACTAACAGTAAATAAAAATGCCCTGTCTAACACCAATTAGGCACAGTGCTCAGCCAGTATAGACATACTGTAAATCCATAAATAAATTAAAATACTTATGTCAGGCACAGTCGGGCATAACATTAAATCTCTCTTTTAAAAGCGAAAATACGTTTAAAAAATGTACAATGTTCATCCAAAACAAAAGGCTTTCTTGCTATTTATATCTTACCGAGGTGAGTCAGACTCTGTTTCATTCAACTGTTCAACGTGCTTTCTCTAAGTGTTCATGCATCACCGAGGTGCTGCTTTTTGCAAATAATGCAGGTAATCTTTTTATTTGCCAAATCCAGGCTAGATTGCTCCCAAACTTTTGATGTTTTGGTACACGTAGCTGCTGTGTTGAACGCTGCCATTTCTGTTAGTTGACGCTCAGTAGAGAAGCTACTGCGCATGCGCGACTCTCGGCAGAGATTGTAATGAAATGAGACGCCTCACTCGGTCGGAAAAAAACAGGTCTGGCGACAACGTCGACAATGAAATTCATCGTCGACTATTTCTATTGTCGATATTTGTCGACAACGTCGACGAATCGTTGCAGCCCTAATCAACAGCACCGCCATTGCCCCCTCAAAAAAAGATATTTAGAGGCAGACAGAGAACGGACTCAATAACGCCTCATGGAAAAAGTCTGAAAATATGAACGTTTATCCACTCAGGGCTGAAGAGTTACAAAGATAAGCAGAAAGCATTTTCTTCGTGGATGGAGATGACAAGAAACGTGGGTTTAAAAGGTGCCGATCGCATGAAGAGGTGAAGGAGAATGAGGGACAAATCCGTACATGTTAAAAAGTCTGTGAAATAAATTACAGCAATATAAGCACAATATTAAATATGCCATTGTGGACTGGATACGTGACTGTAATGGTGGCAGGATACCTCAGAACAGCACTACGCCTTCTGTCGGTATGGCGGGGTATTGCTTTGCAACACTCCTCTTTAGGGCTGATCAAAAAAATAGAAATTTCTGACTTATCGAGAATTTTCCCATGACAATAAATTTGATAATAAAAAAATTAAGAGATGTGTGTAGGTTGGAAACATTCATGTCCCTTTAAGAAGCTGTACCACCTTGAGTCTAGGGCTGCTCGATTATGGCAAAAATAATAATCACGATTATGGTGACTGAAATTGAGATCACGATTATTTAGGACGATTTTTCTATTTATGTTGATTTTATTTGTTTTTATTCAGTCATAAAACTGCTCAGGGCACAATCAGGACAAAAATAAATAAGAAACAAGATGATCACTAAAATAACTCCTGATTCCCAGTATAAAAAGACCAATATACTTATAGCTCATAGTCTATGAACCAAGGGCTATAGACCTTGGTTTAATTCATTTAAGTCTAACCAGTACAGACCCAAATACCAATATCTTGCCAATACTGACAGCAAGAATTATACAGTAGCATTTATAACAAATAAATGCAAATAAATTGATGTTCACAAAATGTTGCATAACATTTATTGAAGTTGTGTCAAGGTGCTGTAGGAGCGTGCACTAGCACCGTGTCCTCAGAGAGATTAGTTATTATTTATCAGCGTGAGGAACTTATTTCTACCTTATTTATAAACTATTTATTAACAAGTCCATCAGTTAATGTAATAATTGTCCCAACCACAGCTGCACTCCCCACCCCGCAACCTGGTCTCACAGCAATCGGGGCAAGCTGCACGTGTGTTTAGCGCGCCGCAGGCTCACATTTAGCCGTTTTTAGCGGCTCAGGAGTCCGCAGGTACAGTGTGTGTCACTCACTCTGGTTAATCCAACAGAGAGCCGGCTCCGAGAGCTGTTTCTTTAGCGACCGACACATCACTACATCATTCCCTTTCCTAATGTCCTGAAGAATGGTCCGGGGCGCAGGCGGAGTGTTTAGCTAACCTGCAGTAAAGGTCGACGACAGTTATCCAGAAAGTAGCTAAGGGTTCCCAGAGATGTTTCTGAGGTGTTCGCTAGGTAGTAGGTACTTTTAAGATTTAAAAAGTCAAGAAGGGGGTCTGAGAAGCTGTTAGAAATAGCGTCAAAGTCGCCAAGCTGGCAACACCCTAGGAGGAGCGCTTCATTTGCAACTCAGGGCAGCGCAAGTGGGAGGAGCAAATAATCGACTTGTTTTGTTTTTTATAATCGTTCAAAACTCAGATCGTAATCGTGATTAAAATTCGATTAGTTGAGCAGCCCTACTTGAGTCACGTGAAAATGTGACTCAAATGTAATACCCATGCCAGCCCCATCTAGTGGACAACTTGTGTTTCTGCACATATAGTTTACCTACTTATCATTATCGAGATGAAATACTCAATATATCGTGATATTGATTTTAGGTCGTATTGCCCAGCCCTACTCCCCAAGTGACGGAGAAGTCAGAAAGAAAAATGTTTCCGCCGAGCTGAAGGAGAAGTATAAATAAGGCTTAACTAATTAAGTTTTTAACGTAAGATGCCCAATTCTGTTTACTGTATACCATAGAAGAAGATCCATAACACACGTTTAACATTCTTTTGAGGAATCCGAGAGTTCATTTGCAACAACAGATAAAAGCCCTTTTTGATTAAACTCCCTTTTTTTCCACTATTTTGACTAATATCTGCCTAAATAAAAACTAAAAAGTGCTATTTTTAAATGAATTAAATCTGCGTTTTCCGTTTTACTAGGGCTGCTTGATTATGGCAAAAATAATAATCACTATTATTGTGACTGAAATTGAGATCTCGATTATTTAGGACGATTTTTCAATTTATGTTGATTTTATTTGTTTTTATTCAGTCACAACATTGATCAGGGCACAATCAGGACAAAAATAAATAAGAAACAAGATGATCACTAAAATAACTCCTGATTCCCAGTATAAAAAGACCAATATACTTATAGCTCATAGTCTATGACCCAAGGGCTATAGACCTTGGTTTAACTCATTTAAGTCTAACCAGTACAGACCCAAAAACCAATATCTAAGACTCGTGCTCTCATTGGTTCCACCCAAGTTCCTTCCACTGACGCTAGAATCGAGACAAAAAGATCTGTAACACTGTAGATTTGAGGTTTGTACCTGTAGAATGAAATGTGTGTTTTGAGAGTTTTGATTTCAAACTTGTACCTTGATTTTTTTCAATTTGGAAGTCTGCTAGTTACAAAACGAAAGTTTCATGTTTCTGAATGTTTGATGTTAAAAAAAATGAGTAGTGAATGTATAAAATAAAAGTTTGATTTTACAAAATAAAAAATGCATGTACAAAATGAAAATTTCCTGTTACAAAACAAGAAATACAGGTACGAATTGAGAATTACAAGTTAGAAAACTAAAGTTACAAGTTACAAATCCAAAGTTACGTGTCATGAAACATGTTCCAAGTTACAAAACTTGGTACAAGTTACGCTGAATTTTGTCCCAATCCTAGCTCCATATTAGAGCTGTTGCCTTGCAGCGAGAAGGTCCTGGGTTTGCTTCCCGGCCGGCATGGGATCTTTCTGCATGGAGTTTGCATGTTCTCCCTGTGCATGTGTGGGTTCCTCCCACAGTCCAAAAACATGACTGTTAGGTTAATTGGTCTGTCTAAATTGTCCTTAGGTGTGAGTGTGTGCATGATTGTTTGTCCTGTGATGGACTGGCTCTCTGTCCAGGGTTCTAATTCACTAATTCATGCTAGCATAAACGATCTCCCCTTTGTGCGTTTTTTTTTTCTTTAAAAACACAATTTTCAAGATAATCAACAATTGCAAAAAAGAACATGTTCCGTTCATTCTAACTGAGATCATTCAGAACAAGTGGGTCAAAAACAGTCATTGGCTCCTAAACCAGAACCAGTGCGCGCCCCTGACCCTTAGGAGTGCCCAATCCTGGTCTTGGAGGGCCGGTATTCAGCAGGTTGTGTGGTTTCTCTGCTCCAACACACTTGAACGAAAGGTTGAATCACCTGTGCAACAGCTCATCAGGCTCTGCAGAAGCCTGTTAATCACCAGCTGATTGAAATCAGGTGTGTTGAAGTAGGGTTAAAACTAAAATCTGTTGGATACCGGCCGTCCAGGACCAGGATTGGACACCCCTGTGTGAACAGAAATGATGCATGAAGCAGATTTGACCGAGTTAACGAGTCCTAGGTGAGGGGCTATATTCACCATGAAACTTCAGCACTGTGATTTACTTTATCTCATGTCACCCATGGCCTGGATAAAGGCTGTCGTTTCTGGTCTTTATTGGGGGTTGTGTGTGCTGGAGAGGTGTGTGTGGGATGTTCTTCTTCCCTGATGAGGAAGTGTGAAGTTAAACGATGACACATGATGCCCAGGTAAACAAACCAGGTGCTGAGGTGGCTGAAGGGTGTTTTGTTGACATGGAAACCACATTTACCTGGTGAAGAACTCAGCGATGCCGAACCTCTTCGGCATCACCTTGAGGTCCGGGCTGCCGGGCTGCTCGCTCAGCGTGTCCGGGGCGCTCTGCCGACGACCGGCCTCCAACACGACTCGCAGGTCTTCCTCACAACCCTCCTGTCCAAAATAAAAGCCCCCATCTTTATCTGGGGACAGCGGGGTGGCGTCACAGCTGAGGGACACGGAGATGTTGGGGATGGTCCTGAGACTCTGCGGCCTGACGAGTAAACCGAGGTCCCTCAACTCCTTCTCCCGGGTGTTGGGCTCAGACAGCGGGCTGTCACTTGTGTTCAAATTGGAGGGGCTTGATGAGCAGGGGGAGGGGGGCTTGGCACTTGGTCCCAGCATGGGAGAGTCCCTGGAGGGATGGGAGGAATGAGGGCAATCAGCTGCAGATTGTGCACCCTCCCTCGGGCACAGGAGGTCCGAAGGCCCGCTAGAGTCGTTCTGGCTCTTCAAGCCCCAGGGATCATGTTCCTGCCAGGTCCCCGATCCAGACTCGCTGTGTCCGGGGGAATTATCCGAATCGGGCCACTCATCTGCGATGTTAAAAATGTGCAAACCACCGTTGGCTACTTTCACCCCCTCACAGTCCAAACCGAGATTCTTACCCAGAAAGCGGGTGGCCAGCAGGTCCACACAACCCTCAAGACTACCGCAGTCCAGCCTGCCAACTACTCCGTTGGACATGTTTTCATGGGGGCCGGAGGAAGCCACCGCAGGCAGGGCGCAGTCCCGTTGGAGCTTCCCTGGGCATGACTGCTGATCGCAGGGAGTAGAAGTCCTGATGCAGACTCCTCCCGGGAAAAAGGACTCCGGGGTCTCTTCCTTCATCCGCTGCTGCATCTGTGGGTCTGTGCAATCCAGATCCCCGAGCACAGCTGGACAGGAAGCGAGGCCGAGTCCTCCTCCCTCCCCCAGCGGCTCCTCCTGACTGAATGAGTCAGAAAATCCGTTCAGGCCGCCGCAACCCCTAGAGACGACACAGCTGTCAACCAGGCGCCCGGAGAGGCAGCTATCTGCAGCCACCAACATGATCTCCGGGGTGTGTGAGGGCAGCTGTACGGAGGCGTCTTTGTTTACATTCCTCCCGGTTCTGGAAACACAACTCCGGGTCCCCCCGGCCCCGTGACCCCCCTTGACACCGACAAGTAGCGATAAGCTCCGGTCTTTAAGTGCGTTGTAAGAACCGTGACCCGGTTTCGCTGCTACCTCTCCTCGCTCTTCTTCTTCTTGGTTATCGTTTAAGTCATCAGAAAACGGTTCTCCGTTCTCCTTCGTGGTTTCCATGGCCACTCAGTCCGCCATCCGTGCGTCAGCCCCGGGCGTAAATTCCTCCTCCGGCTTCGGAGCTCCGCAGCAACAGCTTCTGTTGTTCTCGGAGGAAGGGGCTACCATGCTAGCCGGCGAAACCACACCGATAGCAGGCCTACACTGGGTTCTGCCGAGACATCCTGGGGCGCTGGCTGTAAAATACCTCCATGGAAAGAGAAGCGGAGCTCGCTGCCGGCTGGGAGATTAATTAAACCCCTTCAGCTTGTTGCTGCAGCGGCATTTTTGACACAGCCCGACGCCATCTTGAAAATTCCCCAACAATGACGTCAATCCCATCCACTGGAAGATTGACAGCGTCACCTGCTGGTTTGTCTGTGTAACTACACCAGAGACCTCGATGACCCTGTTTAATCATAAGGGGGGAAATTGAAAAAACTATTTAAAATAAAAATAATGAAGACAAACATGAATAAGAAAAAGGTAATACAGGATCCCAAGATAGGCTAAATTAGCAGCGGTAGCAGCATAAAAGTGAGGAAGAAACTAAAGGAAGAGTTTTCTTTTTCTTTCAAAAAGCAGCTGAATACTCACCTGTTCAGGCTGTCACCAGTCTCTCCTTGTTCGGCTCTTTCTACCTATTCTGCCTTTCCCAGGATCCACTCATTTCCCTCTTTCCTATATATTTTAATAATTGTAAAAAAATCTTTTCATATTTTCATTTTTTTGTTTTTGTGAAGCACCACATCATTTTTATCTTGAGAGGCGCTATGTAAAATAGTTTTCTTTCTTTCTTTCGCTAGAGGTGAGTATTTAGCAGCACAACCAATAGGCTTTGATTACCGGACCTCAGGGACCTGCTGGGGGTGTAGGGACTAAGAAGATCACCAATGTAAGATGGTGCTTGTCCATGTAAGGCCCTATAGACCAGAACCAGGATCTTGAAATGAACCCTGAAGTTGACTGGCAGCCAGTGAAGCTGGAGGAGAAGCGGGGTGATGTGAGTGTGTTTGGAGGACTTGGTCTGAAGCCGAGCACAGGCATTCTGAACCACCTGTAGACAGTTCAGGGAGGTTCTGCTTAGACACGTGAAAAGAGAGTTACAGTAGTCTAAGCTTGAGGAGATGAAGGTGTGGAGAATAATGTCAGGTCAGAGCGATGTAAAGGGTTTTCTGGAGGCCCGGAATTCAGCCACACACAGGAGTTAAATATATATATATAAAGAAAAAAAGATACTTTATTAAAGGAGTAAGGATTTGGGCATGAGCTGGGTTTCTGCAGCTAAGCACTGTTGGAGGAGTCAGTGTAGAGAGAAAATGTGGCAGAGGCAGAGACAGAGGGAACGCTGGCTTGGTTGGGAGAGTTCCCATGATGTACCTTTGACAGAAAACTTTCCCTCCTCTTCTGTCTGTGAAAATGTCTCCTCTTAGGAGGAGCACACTAGGATCAGAAGCCGTGGTTCTGAGCAGGGTCGGAGTCCAGAGGTCGGTGAAGCAGTCCAATCCTTTAAGGGCCAGGCAGGGACAATCCAGGGATGTGAATGTGGTACAGGGTTTGGTAGATCAGAACAATGAAATGCTGGAATGCTGAGACAAAAGGCTACAGCCAATCTGGCAGAGAAGCAGAGATCATTGAGGGTTTAAATAGAGGAAAGAACAGGTGTGCTCCATGTGGTAATCAGGCAGAAGTCAGGTGAACTAAATGATGCTGATTAGTGCAGGAAGGGCAACCAACGTGACAGGCAGAATATGAGGAACATGAATCATTACAAGCGAGACAGAGGCCTAGTCCACACGTAGCCGGGTTTATTTAAAAACGAATATCCGCCCCTCCAAAAACTTGCATCCACACCACCTCGTTTAAAAAACAGAAACTGTCCACACGTACCCGGATAAATACGTTGTTAAGGACATGCCAGACCTGTAGGCGGCAGTACTTCCCCCGTTCTTAACCTCATCCTTCATCTGTGGTCTTCCTCAAGGAGCAGTAATTCTGCTTGCAAAAACAAACAAGCAGAAAGCGCTTGGACAATTGATAAAGCGAGCGCAGCTCTGAGGGCATCCATGCTGTCGGCTAGTGTAAAGACAGGTCGCACACGTGATGTCAGCATTTTTTTGTCGCGGAAAGTGACGTTGCGGACCTTAAAACTCCGGTTTTGTCTGTCCACACGCAGACACCCAAAACGGAGAAAACGCAGATCTTCACTTTGGCCGGAGTTTTTGAAAAGATCCGTTTTCATTTGAAAAAATCCGTTTTCGCGTGGATGACAGGCCAAAACGTAGAAAAATATCTACGTTTTGGCAGATCCCCGGCTACGTGTGGACAGGGCCAGAATGGGACTCAGCTTTGCAATGTTCCTGAGGTGGAAGAAGGAGGAGCGAACAAGGGAACTGACATGAGAAGCCAGGGTGAGAGCTGGGTCAAAGGTCACACCAAGGTTCCTGACAGAGAGTTTGGTGTGAGAAGCAAGCTGACCAAGAGAGTCTCTGGCTTTGGGAACCAGCTTGTCTGGGGCACAGATGAAGATCTCAGTCTTATCTTCATTCAGCTGTAGAAAGCTCCCAGCCATCCAGGTTTTAAGCAGGTGTGTAACAGCTGCAGCTTAGACATCTCATGAAGTAGATTTGTATTTCATTATCTGAAAGTATCTGATCACGGATAGTTTGAGTTTAACAACAGGAATGTCACTCAGTATTTCATTTGTTAAGAAATCTGAAGCCTGCCTTGCCCTTATTCCCTTCATGAGCAGCTCATCAGTAACCCTGTTTGTGTGTGTTGTGCCGGGTAATGTGCTTGATGCTTTTTAATGATATTTTAATCAAACTGATTTAAGTGTGATGAGTATAAGTCATGTGTGATTGACAAAAATATGACAGACGAATCTACTGATTTTATCTGAATGCAAACGTGTTGTTCTAAAGTCCTTTTGGGTCAAAATGACAAACTTCTGTGTTGCTAAAAAGAGGAACCAAGACACTGCAGCAAGCCTGACAGGGCACACACACACACACAGCCTTATGACTATGGGATAACGGTAAATGGTTCAAAAGCAGAGAAATAGAATGTTGATCGTAACTAAGCAAAGTTTTGAATAAGGATGTGTTGACACTGTTTTAATGTGTCATATGACCATGTTTGCTAAGACAAAGGTTTTGGAGATGGTTAAAGGAAACGGCGTGTGTAATGGAAACACGAGAGAGTTGTTGTTACTCTATGTGTGAAGGTTCAAAGACTACAAAGAAACAACTGCTAAAGAGCGTTATAAATTAACTTTAAGTGACCATATGTATTGTACCAAGTTCATACAAAGTGTACTAATCTGTAACTGATTTGACTGTTGATGTTGAAGCAGGGGGACTCACTTCTGGTCCTGAAGAGCCACCATCCAGCATATTTTTCTTGTTTCTGTACTCCAACACATCTAATTCAGTGGTTGATTCACCTGTTCAGCAGCTCATCGAGCTCTTCAGAAGCCTGGTGATCACCTGCTGATTTAAATCTGCTGTGTAGAAGTAGAGTTAAAACAAAAACATGTAGGACCAGGAGTGAGTACTGCTGTGGTAAATTAAGGATTAGGGCAGGAAGTGGAGTTTCACTCTGGGGGCCGCTGGCCGACCAAGAAACAGGAACTTGGTTGCCATGGAGAGCAGCTGCAGGGCCTGACAAAGATTCAACTGATGGAAAAAGCTGGTTTCAGAGGAAACAGTCTCTTACACTCAGACTGACTACAAAAGCCGGGTCAGACAGAAATCTGGGTTTTTGTCATGCCTGTCAGAACCCCAGTCAACAAGTGACAAGGATTGCAGCATGGAGGGTTTGGGGGCGCAGTCATCTCACCCAAACACTGGATTGCTGAGCGGACACCCACAGGAAAGTCCCATCACCATCGGGAAACCCCCAGAGTCTAACCTAGCAGTCCTCGAGTTGCAGAGTTACCTCCTGGATCACTCTGGGGGAACTTGTGTAGAGCAGAAGAGTGAGACACATCTCAAGATGGTGGAAGCTTTTCTTTGTTCACCAAAATCAACGGAAAATCAAAATCTCAATCAGAGCAAAGTCACGGCCCACAGCGAACTAGGGTGAGTAACATCCTGAGACTATTCACCTGTAAAAACGTTTTCTTTTTGACTGGCAGCAAACTGCCATGATTACCATGCTCTGCGCATACTGAAGCTACACTAAATAAAATAACAAAATCGCCCAAAAGAGAAGTTGTGGACAATCAGTTTTGTGACTGGTTACTTTTCACGAGTAAAACATATTAAAGAAACAAGTGTATGACATCATAAGTTGCTTTTATCTTGTTTTTCTGAACCCCACTTGATCGTGAGCCAGCTAACAGTTAGCATTAGCTAATCTGCTTGTAGTTGTACTTTTGATCCCTAACTCTGGACTGTTTTTGCCTCTGTGCCTTTGCTGGTTTCTCTGTTTCCCTCCACAGCACCTAGATTAGAACATTGTGCGCCAGTAAAAAACATCTTACCTTTGTTCAATAAAGTTCTAGGGAAAACAGTGTAACGTCATGAAATGGACTGATTTTAAAGATCCCACAGGTCATATGCAGCCAGAGCAAATAACACTGGCTGCTACATGTTCTGCTGTATCTTCCCTTGTCAGGAGTCTGTGAGTCTGCACAACTCAGCATTTTAATCAGATGACTTCATCAGCTGAGCGCAGCTTCATCAGATAATAAAGATGAACAGTAAGTAGCATTCCTTTCCCCAAGGTTCCTCACAAGAGAACCGTTTTTGATAAATCTTTATTCCCAGAAGAAAGAAGATTTCATAATTAAAGTAATCGTTTTATAATTCAAAATAATCATTGAAGAAAGAAGATTTTATGATTAAAAATCATTACATAATGCCATGTATAATTAAGCAATGAAATGTCCATGAATCTGTATCCAATGATGGTTTACTATATTTACTAGATGAGGCCATAGCCACCTGATCACACAACAGACAAGAAGTAAGGTTAAAATTACGAACTCATGACACATAACTAACCTTGTCTGATACAAGCCATCTTCCCAAGCTAGCCCAACTCTTTAACAGATGTTACGTCTCAGGGTTGACTTGTATTTCTATTTGTGCGTGGGCGTGATATTCAGCCGCTCTTTAAACTGCCTGCACACTGTAGGAGCTAATTAGCAATCACCAATAACCTAGACTCTGATTCTGGCAAAACCAACTTCATGCAGCTCAAGGGAGACTCAGTTTACTCACAATCCATGTCCATGAAGCTTATGTACACTTAAGGTTAAGACCCTTGCCAGCTGTTCCTTTTATGCTAAGGAGACAACTGATATTACCTGTAGCCTAGGATGGAGGAAACACTTATATCAATACCTAGTGATGGCCTTTACAACCAGCATCTCACCTTTGCTCGGTTACCGACAGGAGGAGACCCCACTCGTAAATCCTTTATTCGTTCCACGAATCCGAGGAACTAGATTTTATTTCACACAGAATAAAAAAGAATAATAATCCAAACAAAACCCCGACAAATCGAGTTAAAAAGTAAAACAACTCTTTGCCAATAAACAGAGTTATAGCAAAGTTGAGCTGAATAAGCTCCAAAAATGGGACTAGGTCTGATTATCACAGACAACAAGCTCAAAGCAAAAGCTTCCTCCTTTCCATCTCTGTACCC